ACCCCAGTCTATAAAGAGTATTAATATGACAGGGTCGCATCTAGTAGGGAAGACTGATGAAAGTGGAAGATGCCATTCAGACCACTTGAAAGGCCTGGATGGGGGTGGGGGAGGGCACTTGCTGGGCTCCGGGCTTCCAATGGGAACACTGTGGTCACAGCCACTTCATTGTTATCTGATGGCCTGCTGGTTCTCTTGCAGCTGGAAGCAGATGCCAGGCTGGAGGGAAAGAGCTGCTTTTGCGTTCTGTTCCCAGGGCTTCCTGGAAAGGCAGAAGGAGGAACAGGAGAGCCCTGCTTCTCTCTGCAGAGCTGTGAGTCACCCTTGGGAAACTGTCAGCAGACTCCACCGGGGCATCTCAGAACTTTACTTGGTTGTCTTGACCATGGCGTGAGATCGAGTGTGTCCTGGGGCCTGACATGTGTGAATGGGCACTAAAGCTATGCTAGGCTTGGGGATGCTTCTGGAAACCCCAGACTCTCCCTGGACTTCTGCTACCTTAGGTGACCAGACTCACTGAGTCAGTCCACAGCACTGGAAGCCTGTATGGTACCAGGCCCAGTGCCAGGTGCTGGGGACTTGAATGTACTTAGGATATGTCCTTGGGGTGCCTCGGGTTTACAAATTACCACATGTCACAGACCTCTGGAGTCACTTTTAAAGTACAACTTTATATTGGTGACTGCCAGGACATAGACTCAGTGTTCCCAGCAGAGGCCCAGGAAGAGTCCTCATCCAATTGTCATTCCAGGATGCCAGCCTCACAGCGAGGAGGGGTCAAAGCCACTCTCAGGGTCAGCCTCCCCAACTGCAGGCATTTCCCAGGGCTGCCGTCACCAAGTGCCCCGACTTCAAACAACAGACATGCATTGTCTCAGTTCTGGACGCAACAAGTTCTAAATCCGGGTGTAGGCAGGGCCATGCTCTCTGTGACAGCTGTAGGGAAGAGCCCTTCCTGAGTTCTCCAGGCAAACTCTTCCAGCTTCTGGTGTTTGCCAGAACTCCTTTGCCAGGGGCTTGTACCTCACAGGACCATCCTCCCCCTGTGTGTCTTCATATCATCTTCCTCTGTCCAAATTTTCCCTTTTTATAAGGACACTAATCATATCAGATTAGGGTGTGCCTAACCTCATTTTTAACTTGACTTTTTTCTGTACAGACCCTATTTCCAAATAAGGTTACATTCTGAAGTGCTAGGTGTCAAGACTTGGACATATCTTTTGGGGGATGCAATTCAATGCATATCACCAGTCTCACCAGCCTATTTTTGGCAAGGCCTATATCAACGGGGGAGAGGCACAGAGAAGAGTAGCAGGATTGAAGAAGGTCAAGGAGGAGATAGTAGGACAAAGACCCAGGAGCACACACAGCTGGAGGCGGTGGCCTTGACCAGGAGAAAGGACACCTATCCTCTGGCAGGAGTGAATAAGGATGAGCTGGAGGGGGAGGTGGGAGTCAAGGCCACTGGCTGCTCAGCTGAGCAAACGCCCTGTTGCCTGGGGAGAATGAGAGGGGTGGAGGTTTGATGTGGACTTGAGAAGGGGGCCAAGTGTGAGAGAGCTGCAGAGGGAGTGGGTAGCCTTGGCATTGCACTGCTGGGCTATCACAGTGGGGTTTTCCTCCAATTCTCTCATTCACTCGTGTATGGAATTGCCCCAGGACCTGCGGAATCTGAGGGTGAGTCTGTGGGTGGGAGGGCAAGAGACTGAATATAGGGAGAAAAGCTGGAGCCATGCCTGGGTGGGTGAAAAGAGGCAAAGCGGGGAAGCATGAACCCCAGAGAAGGCTGACGTGTAGCATCTGATTCAGGGACTGTCCAAGGAAGCAAAGAGAACTCAGCTTACTGCTGCCTTCCATGTGGGGGCGGGGCTGGGGGAGAGGCCAGGGCTGCTGAGTGTCAGGGTGGGGTTCTGGGAGGACTGAGGGAAGTTTGCTCAGGAAGGGGGCTCCTGGGGCACTGCAGGTCAGATGGGGGGGGGTGGCAAAGCATGCAGTGCAGGGCGAGAGGTGTGAGGAGGCTGTCCATGCCCCTGGCTGTGCCCCTGGGGACGCCTGCAGTCCAAAGGGGACAAGGAGCCCCTGGGAGCAGTGGGTGTCACGAGCAGGCACAGAACTAGGGCCAACGAAGAGGAAGGAAGCTTGGCTCTGACTGGGGCCTAGGGTCCGGAAGGGGGCTCGGGCTGCAGCAACGGTCAACCACGTGGAGGAGGGGAATGGGACAGAGGGAGATGCAAGAGCCCCAAGCCGGTTCACGTGCCCAGGAAAAAGCAAGTAGTCTGAAAAGCAAGTGGGTGCTGGGGGGTGGGCAGTGGAGGAGAGGGGAGGGCGGCAGTATTTAGACCCAGTGGGAGCACAGAGATGTACTAGTGACGGGGATGGAACCCAAAACTGTCTAAATAAAGAAAGTGAAACGTGTGGATGATAAACAAATCCTTGCAGGTGCCTATGTTTTCATTTCCTCTGCGTATCTCAGATCAGTCATCTTCCTGTGCCCTTTAAGACATCATCGTCAGTATTCCCAGGAAAACCAGAGGCAGAGAGCAGCGGAGTGGGAACTTTGGAAAGTCCCTTGCTTTGGAAAATCTCAGTTGGACAGACACACACGCTCCTGCTTCCCCATCTGTTCGCTTGGGAAGCAGGCGTCTGCTGGCAGCTGAAGGAGGGTCTCAGGTCTCTGACGGTGGCTGAGCCTGCCGCAGGAACACTGGGGATGCCCAAACCCTGAGGGAGGTCGTGGTGGCTGGTGACCCTGAGGGTCATGAGCTGGTGTCCATCTGGGTGAAAGCAGCCCAGGGCAGAGTGTGGACTCTATAGAACAGCCTACCTGGGGTGAAACCCCAGCTCTGCCACTTGCCATTCAAGGTTACATGATCTGGGGTATTCATTTAAAGCCTATTTGACTCAGTTTCCCCATCCGTAAAGTGGGGATCATAAATGTAGGTTCCCCTTGGAGATGTTGTGAAGATTAAGTGAATTGAAAGGTATAAGGACTCAGCATCCTATAGCCACCCAGTAAAGGTGGCTTATCTCCTTCAGCATCATCTGTGGTACCGTGAGGAGCTCTGACAAAGCAGAGACTTCAAGGACAGGGTGGAGGTATCTAGACCAGGCCTGGGTTCCACCAGGTGGAATGAGGGTACCTTCGACCTCCCATCCCTGAGCGGTGCCTTCCACTTTCCCCACTCACAGGCAGGTGCAGCAGGGGCAGTGTGTCGGCGGGGATGGAGGCACCTGTTTCAGATACCTGCCACTGGGAGTTTGGGTTGTAGTGCCTGAACTCAGAGGGACCTCGAACTGAAAGCCACTCGTCTGCCAAGGCCACTCAGGGCACCCTTAAGATCCTACTGAGTGTGAGGTCTCTGATGGCATATCTGATAGAGCCCCCTTCCTCTGCCTGAATTGGATAGACTGAGCATGGAAACAGCCCCTTTTTTTCTGATAGAGGCTAAATTGGAGACCTGAGCTTAGTCTGATAGTTGCACGGGCCTGTGGAAGGTAGAACAGGGCAGGTTATCGAGTTGATGTCCAGGTCTGCGGTCTGAGCAAGTGCGTGGGTGCTGGTATTTGCTGAGACTGGGGACAGTGAAGGAGGCCTATAGGACCATGGGCTGTATCCCCTCCGTTTCGGACATCACAGAGTGGAGATCCCAAATGCCATGAGAGGTCATGGTGATGCTGTGTAGACAATGTTGGATGCACGGCTCCCAGAAAAGAGGTCTGTGTGGCATGAGATGTGGCTGGGAAGGCAGGCTGGACCGTGTTAAAGATACTAGTAATGGCCAACATTCGCCACATCTTCAGTAAGTGAGAAACAGTACCATTGTCTCCATTTATAGATGGGAATACTGAAACATGGACAGGCTAGGAAACTGAGGCTAGGAAACTCAAATAACCCGTGAAGGACAGTGCTAGGAATGCAAAGCCAGGCAGTGGGCCTACAGCATCTGTCTGTTTAACTATCCTGTGATCCTGGAGTGCTACAAGAGTGGGTGTGCCCGGCCCAACCTTGAACAAGTGAAAAAAAAACCCATCAAGAATAAATCACTCGCCCAAGGTCACGCCAGCTAGTTGCAGCAAGCACAGCTGGGGCCGGAATCCAAGCCTGCAGACTCCCAGCACTTCCCTTTGCCTCACGCATTCCACTTCGGGGCACGCAAGCTTCTTTTCCCAGATTAGATATTATTAAATTTTTAAAAATGTGCTTTTCTCTATTTCTAAATTTTTAGTGGTGAGCATGTACATTTATAATGGAGAAGAGAGATTTGTTCAATGATATTGAAAGACATCAATATCATTCAACAGAAACCACCTGGCTCCCATTTAAGGGAGGCGTATTGTGGTGTCTCTTGAGGTACAGAGGATGGGACACATTGTCCTGTTTGCCTTTGATGATTTCTAGCAGGAGTTTCTGGGAAATTTCTGGGCTCCTTGCAGGAACTCCGCTCCCTAGGATGTGAAGGATGGAGGGAAAACATTTCCTATTATAGGCTGACCTACTGGGGGTGACTGGGCAGTCTTTCTGAGGTCAGATTATGCTACATGAAATCCTTCATGTCAAGTCATCCACCCACGTTCCTACCTGCTTCCTCCCTCCCTCGGGTCCTCACTACACACCTCACCTGGAAATTAAGGTGGTGCGGGGAAGAGGGAGGAGATCTAGGCCTGCAGGAATGAGACATCCTTTTACTTCTGAGCTGAACTAATCAATTTAGATGAACAGACACGCTCTAATCAATTGTCTTACAAGAACAGTAAGATGTTTATCAAACTTGAATATATTTTTACCAGACTGTTCTTTCTCTAATAGGCATCTTAGACTAAAATGAAACAGTACAGGTTTAACACATCATTTGGATAAATATAGTTGTTTATCTTGAAGACTGTTAAGATTGCTTATTTTCTCCTTTCTTCCCCCTCTTGTCCAATTCATCAAGCCATCTCCCACTCATCATTCAAATATAGTTTATTTAACATATTTATATCTCAAGTCATTCCAAAAATGAGTTGTTGTGGCTTATGAAAAGAAAGAAGCTCAGACAATAAAACCCATGATATGCAAACTCGAATAGGAAAACAGATTAGAGAATAAAATTAGAAATCAAATGTTCATTTCAGTTGTTCCAAGGGAGCCTGTTGCCGTATATTTGAAGAGTTCTGCTGGTCAAGATGAAAAGGGAAACAAGAAATGCACATCTCTCTTGATCGGGGAAACGGACACAGTGTGGGCGGTTACAGGGAGAACTGAGTCTTCCTTGATACTAAACTTTGAAAGACATCTCTCCTGCAGTAGATAGTAGAGAGTTAGGCTGGTCAATATCTTGACAACAGTTTTGGCTCAAACCAGAATTTTTTCACAAAGAAATTCCCATGGCTCATTCCTATGGTAATTTTTGGTAGCAGTTAGAAATCCTAACACTGCATTTTAGCCCAGAGATGCTGATTCAGGGTGGGCATTTGATCAGTGCACTGGATTAAGCTGTCACTGGCAAGATCTTTTGGGTCCAAGTGCTGTTCCTAATGTATTAGCTATTCTTTTAATGTGTCTCTGTTTGAAAAACGTAAACACTGTCATCATCCAAATCATTATAATTTTAAACAGGAGTCAACTTGAGGTGAATCCTGTGAAGTGCAGCTAGAGACCTATCTCTATGCCCACACTGATGGTTAAGGAGGATTTGGGGATATGGTCATTCAGACACAATTCCACTTATATTAGTTCTCATCTGATCTATTTATTTACCTATACCATGTCTCTTTTTATAGTTGAGTCAGTAAGGCATACAGGAGATGCATAATATAAATAGTGAAGTGTAAATTAAATATGAGAATGAGGAAAACAAATGAAATACGGTGTCAAGACCAGGGTGGGTATAGGAAGAGGTTGGACAGAATGAAGATCTGATGACAATAAAGTTCCACTGTTGTTACAAATTGCTGGCTTGCTTTGGACTTCCTGGAACACCACAGGATCGATCATGTGTCCCTCATTCCCCAATCTGTAGCCTATTACCTCCTGGAAAGACTGACTAAAGATGATACAATGTGCTCTTGTTAGTTACCAAAAGCCCCCGGTGGCCTTCACTTCCATTTGGAAGCGCTCCTGGTTATCTCTGCCTGGCTCTGTGTGGCTCTCCCATTCTTGTTACCACCCCAGCCTTCCACTGCTTGCTCAGAGTTTGTCTCTCTTACAACTTTAGCTCAGCTATGGCTTTGCTTCATCATGGGCCTGATTCCACCTGGGGGCTGCTTTTTTCAGATTTGGCCACCTCTGCTAGCCAGCTCAAATGACTGTTTGCAACAGTGACAATCTGGTTGGTCCAGGTCATCATTTTCTATCTGGCCATGTTACAATTGGCCAGTCTATGACGTGGTGGCCTGGGTCAGGTACTCCAACGTCCCTGGTACAGTTACTCACAAGACAAGTCATGTGGTCCAAAATATGAGCCAAGGGTTGGGGTGGGGATGTGGAGAGAGCTGTGTGTGAAATCGTTTTCTTTGCACAGAGGTTTACGTGTGGCAAGCAATCAAAGATTTCACTTCTTCACCTGGGTGAGGGACTGAGCATGGGCATGGCAAACCAGCTGCCTTTTTGCCTCTGTTGCATCAGTTGATAACATGAGGACCTTTGTCCTTCTGGGAATCTTTTCTTCTGAGTTGCTCAAGTCATCCTCTGTGGAAGTGTGTTTAGAGGGCATGGGAAGCCTGAAGTAAGCACTCCCTTTTAAATGTATAGGCATATGGATTTCTGAATGTATTTCACTATAACCCTCCCCCTACTTTTTTGTTGTTGTTGTTGAATGTCATGTTTATTTATAGTCTGTGGAACAAGTCTTTGTAGACCTTTGCTACTCAGATTGAGGTCAGCCTGGGGCTGCCGGGGAGCCTGCTGGAAATGTAGACTCTCAGCCTTCCCTAGACCTACAGAATCAGAACCTGCATTTTAACAAGTTCTCCAGTGTGTGCACTCAAATTTGAGAAACACGACTTGCATTGCAAACTTTGGACAGTGCTGAATGACTTTGGCCAGGGACTGAGTCTCCAAGAGGTGATGTGACTTGCCTGAATCCCCCAATGGGTCAGTAATAGATCTGGAATCAGAATCCAGTGTCCTGAGTCCTAGTCACATCCTCTTCCCACTACCCCATGATGTCCCCCTCATCTAGGAAATGAAGAGGTTGATTAGACCATCGTTAGACCATGTGATCAGAAGGATCATGATTTATCAACCATAGTCACTTTTGAGAGTGCAAGAGGACACCATGAATTACCTTAGGGCAATAGATGCAAAGTGCCACAGGTGGCCAGTCCATACACCTAAAGTATTTTTCTGTTTTACAGAGCCCTCTCACATCTGTTAACTACTTTAAACAGCATAAATATCCAATGACTGGATGATCTTAAAGTGTTAACTATGCAATAAAATCTGGTTCTCAAGTAACATACACACACAGTCACACTATCTCATTTTAGTAGACAAATCACTATCTAACCTGACCAAGAAAAAAGGTAAAAGCCCAAAGCAAGAAAATATGAGAATGAGGAAATGATTGTAGATAGTCACACATTTAAAATGATTCTGAAGTTACTTTGCTTAACCCATTCCAGTAAGTTTGAAAGCCTGGATGAAACTAGCAGTTCCCTCCGCCCCCCATCACACACCATCGCAGTGGCCCAGCTGGGGCTGCAGGCTACATGTCAGGTAAGCTTTCTGTCAAGTCACTTCCCTATGAGTCAACCAGACTTCAGAGTTGGGTGTCGGAAACTGTTATCCCAGTGCTTTAACTCAAAGCTAAAATGTCTGGGCAGCCTGGCAGGAACTCAGCTCTTCCGTTGGGGTAGGAACCAGAGCATGTGAAGAGTTGTTAACTGATTGGACCTCTATGGCAAATGGCCACCCACTTCCTTCTGATCTCCATTTTATCTGCCACCTTCATTGCCCTGCTCTAGAAATGAAAAACAGGTATGTTCCTGATCCTGAGAATGCTGAGTGTTAGACGTGAGAGGTCTCATTTTATCAGAGATTGGTTAGTTCCAGTCCCTCTTTTAAAGATGAAGAAATTGAGAATAAGGAAGTAACTGTCAACTTGAGACTATTTTCATTCCAAGTTGTGTGCTCTATTACACTATCTTTAATAATACTAATGTTAATAATGTTAACAACTGATATCTACTGATTGGTTTACTCCATCACCCCTTCACAACCCTATGAGGAAGGCAGTCGTTGCATCATCCCCACGTTACAGAAACTGAAGCACAGAGGGGTTAAGTAACTTGCCCTGAAACACACAGCTAGTTAGTGAGAGGCAGAGTTGAGATTCGACCCCAGGTAGTCTGCTTGCACGCAGAGCCTATACCTCACCTCCATTTACTATTCCAACAGTTCCCTTATTATTCTGACAGGACAGACCTCGGATTATGTATATAACAGAGCCACTAGGCATGGTGACCTTTAAGAAAGAGTCTCAAGGCAAGAGAAACTATGGTTTACCTAACATTCAGCATGTGCCAGCTACTGTTCTGAGTGCTTTTACAAGTGTTAGCTCAGTAATCTCAAAACCAAAACCAAAACAATCATCCCCCAAAACCCCAAAACAAAACACACACGAAGAGGGCACAGTATCCTCATTTATCAAGTGGGAAAATGAAGGCCACAGAGTTTCCATAATTACCTTGAGTTCCTACAGCTAAGTGGCAAATCTGGTGTTTAGAACTAGCCCATCTGGCAGGTGAGCAACATTCTTCACTGCCAACTACACTCCACTACCAATTGACTCAGTTATTCATTTCGTCCTCATAGTACCTGACAGGCAGGTGTCATTTCCCAACCACTAATTTCCTTTTCTCTGCTTAGATGAGGAAACTGACCTGCTTGTAATGTTTAAATAATTTGCTGACCGCCATCCAGTGACTTGGTGGCAGGCCAGCCAGGATCCAAAGCCCGTGGTAGACTGTTTTCACTTCTCCAGGCTTTAGTGGTGTGAGCCAAAGCTGGACCTCTGGGACAGATCCTCCCACTCGCAGGTCTCACCTGAGGCTCCGCTGGGTACCGGCAGAGCCACACACAGCCCCCTGGCGGCAGGTGGGCACAAGGGCAGCGCATGCTAATGAGACTGCAACATTGCTCGCTGATTGGCTGGCACTGATTCCAGCTACTTTTCCCAGGGGCGTGAAGCGCTGCAAGAATAAAGGGGCGCCGCAAGCGCTGCTACCCCCACCCCGCGCCCTTCGGTCCCCTCATCTCCCCTTAGACCTAAGGGCGTGAGGGAAGCACGCGGGCTCTTTCGCTTGCTAGATTGTCCTTTTCTCTCCCTTTTGCGTTCTGGTTCTGAATTCATCCAGGATCCAGGATGACAATCCGACACCAAGGCCAGCACTACTGACCGAGGATGGCATTTCTCCCGAAGGTAAGCGTGGTCCGGTCACCTGGGCCATGGGAGTTGGGCAGGGACGCAACTCTGGGAAGTGTCCGCGGAGATGCTGGGAATTTCGGAGCGTGTGGGCAGGAGTGGAGAGCACTTCTTGTGGTCTTAAATGACTGGCATGTGGTGGAATGACAACAGTATCTGTTTAGGTTTCTGTGCTGGCCTGTTGATCCTGAAGAATCAGCACTGCTTGTGCAGAGTGCTGGAGGGTGCAGAGCCTGTTGCCAGGAACTTCCTCCTCTCTCGGGTGGGACTGTTCTGGAGGTGTTCCACACTGTTTCTCCCAGAGGCTCTGCTCACTCAGGACTCCAGTGGTCCGAAGAATGAACCTGGATTGTCCTCCTTTCTTCCCCTGGCTCACTTCCCCAGACCTCTGCTGCCACTTCTCAGGATCAATCCTTCCACCAACACTAGGAGATTATTATTCACATTTTACAGGTAAGGAAATTGAGAACCAACACTGGAAGGTTGTGAGACAGTGACAGTGGTCTCACTGCAATGGGAGAAACATAAAGTACAGTGGGCAGTGGGAAGGAGCTTCTACAATTCCCCGTAAAGAGAAGGGGGAGAGAACCTTGAAGCTGAGACTGAAGGATGCTGGGCTTCTGCAAAAGAAAGGGCAGAAGGAAGACCCAGGCAGCTGGGGGCAGAAGTATGTGCCAGAGTAGAGGTGTGTGCCAGTGTGCTGTGTTTGAAGCAAGTTGTTCACTGTTGTTTAACAAAGGTGGATCACGAAGATATACTTAGACCTATGCCTTTCAAAGTTCATCCGATTTTTCCCAGAGGAAGTCATTCAAGACTTTGGAGCAGGTGAGTGATGTAGTCAGATTCAAGTTCAAAAGACCACTCTGATGTGAACAAGAGGAATGGTTGGGGTGTTTTTTTCTTTTCCTTGAACTAAGAGAGTTCACTTAGGGTCCTCCTGTGTCCACTATATTCCAGTTGCCTAAGAAATGACAGGTCAGGGAAGAGGTGCTGGGCTGAAGGGCTCTTCTTTCTCCTGTGGCTCCTATGCCCACTGAAACACCGAGTAGACAGTCCCACCAGCCATAGTACCATTCTCTCTGAGTTGCAAAGCTTAATGACTAGCACCCAACCAGGGAGGGCTCCTGGGCTTAAGATGTGGTAGAAAGAGATGGAGCATCCACAGTCCAGGAGCCTTGCCTGGGGGAGTTAGCTGATGATGCACAGTGGACCCGAGAGCATGTCTAGGCAGCCTGCTGTGGCCTCTGGCATCCACAGGGCTCTGTTCTGGCTGCTGCCTTTTACCTCCTATGTCTGGGCAGCTCTCTAAAATGCCTTCCTCTTCTCCGACAGAAAGAGCTGGACTTGGGCAAGGACTGCAAGGAGTAGGGATCTTAATGAGGCTTGAGTGGATTTAGAATTCTTGTATCATGTATGTTTTTCCATTGAACATTTATTGAGCACCTACTATGTGTCAGGCATTGATAGACACTGGGATAACAAAGACATTCAAGACATGGTCCCTGTGTTCAAGTAGCTTCCAGTCTAGTTGTGGGACAGCCACATACACCAACCCAATGGCACGTCACAGGTGCCACAATAGAAACCTGGAAGGTAAAGGAAGTGTCCAAGTACAGGCATTCACTGTCTATTGGGTGGAATTTCACAAAAGGATTCTGAAAGATTCAGTGGTGCTTTAGTTGCATCTTGAAAGATGTGAGAAGGTTCTTAAGGCCCTGGGGTGCTGGAAGAGGGCTGTGACACAGGAGACATGCATTCAGCTCTGGATCTGTTGTGTCTCAGCTGCTGATCAGAGCCAGAGAATGATGGCCAACAGGCAATTCTGTTTCTAGAAGGAGGTTCTGGAATGATTCTGGAAGGAGGTTGAGAATGATTCTCAGTGGTTATTGAGAATGTAACAAAAATGAGGATTAATAGCATATGGCACTTGGGCATTTGGACTTTGAATGGCAGCACTGCAGCTGGGCCATGAACCCCTACTAGGAAAGAGGGTGCAGTGTATTTTATTTTTGACCACTAGTACATCTTTACACAGCCAGGACACGATTCCCATTGTCCTTAGGGAATGAGGAACACTTCACTCCCTAAGGTCTCTTGTAGAGAGTGACAGCCACTTTACGTGAAAAGTAACTGTGAGTATGGGTGGACAGCACATCAAAGCCATGAACTGCTGATACTTTTAGTGATTGTCTGGATTCTTTGATATGCCTGATGTTGTATCTCAGTCACATGCAATCTGAGAGGGGAAAAGCTAGGCCTATGGTGGGGTCAGATAGGCCAACGATGGCCTTTTTCTTACAGGATTTGTCTGTGACCTTAGGAAGTAGTTGGAGAGGTGTCTGGATTCTAGAAAGCCCAGAAGCTGGGGTCTGCTCTATGGTGTGTGTGTTGGGGGAGGGGCGGTGACAGGTTGGGGAAGGGCTGGGGGTCTTCACTGTGTTTGAGGAAAGGAGGTGGCTCAGGAGAGATGCACACAGAATGCAAAGATGAAGGCATCCTGGAGCAAGGCCACAGCAGTACCTTTCCTGGCAAGCTTGAAAATCAAGGTAGATTTTCTGTTGTTGGTGGGCAGGGTTCCTGTTGACCGAGATTACGTCTCTAAGACCCTAGAACTTGGTCATATTTCTTGCAGATTTCTTCATATTTCTTTAGATTTATTATAATTTTAAAAGAAGATTTTACTTACTTATTTTTAGAGAGAGGGGAAGGGAGGGAGAAAGAGAGGAGAAAACATCAATGTGTAATTGCCTCTTGCACCCCGCCCCGCCCCCCCCAGGGACCCAGCCTGCAAGCCAGGTATGTGCCCTGACCAGGAATTGAACTGGCGACCCTTTGCTTTGCAGGCCAGCACTCAATCCACTGAGCCACACCAGCCTGGGCTATAACTCTTTTTTAGAGAGCCACTTAAGTTAATTTACATGGGGAAAGGTCAGAGGAAAATTATCCTGTACCCTAATGCGAAGACTCCTGTCTTAGTCAGTCTGGGCGGCTATAAACAAAATACCAGAGACTGGGTAGCTTATAAACAACAGAAATTTATTTCTCACAGTTCTGGAGGCTGAGATCAGAGTGCCAGCATGGTTGGGTTCTGATGCAAACTGTCTTCTTGGTCACAGGCTTCTAGTTGTGTTCTCACATGGTAGAAGGGACAAGGGATCTCTTGGGTCTCTTTTATCAGGACACTAATCCCATTCACGAGGGCTCCACCCTCATGACCTCCCAAAGGCCCCCACCTCCTAATGCCATCACTGTGGGGGATAGGTCTCAGCATATGAAGCTGGGGGAGACACAAACATTCAGACCATAGTGACTCCCTAAAAACACATGTGGAACATACGTGTTCCACTTTTCCCAGCAAAACCTTACTTCGTATACAGTGGGACTTTCCTGCTGTAAAGAAGCCTGCTTCTCTTTATTGTGACTTTAAAACTAGTTCTTGGGATGGAAGCGGCCTAATATATGGTGATGGAAGATGGTTTGACTTTGGGTGGTGGGTATACAATGCAATGTACAGATCTTGTATCTAGAAATATACACTCGAAACCTATATGATCCTATTAACCAATGTCACCCCAATAAACTTAATAAAAAATAAAAATAGTTCTTATTGGTCTCTTTGAAGATTAGTTCAAAATTCCTTATAGATTAATACTTTCTTTTTTAACACAGAGGGAAAGGAATGAAGCTGCTGATATTTTTATCAGATAAGTTTCCATTTCAAACTAGCAGAACAGGTAAAACTCCTCTATCCACTGCTCAGCTCCCTGATTCCCTGAGAAGGTCCTTTCACCCAGTGAGGTAACAGTATTTTCAGTACAAAGTTATTATAACCTGAAAAGTTATGAATGAGTGAAAGGAAGAGAAAGTTTTAAGCCCTGTTGTTAGAATCTAAAACAGTGTGTGTGTGTGTGTGTGTGTGTGTGTGTGTGTGTGTGTGTTGGGGAAGAAGGGACAGCTGGCTGCTACCAAAAGGAGTAACTCCTGCAGCCCATGGCTCTTAGGTCCCCTGGCCATGTCCCGGAGGAGTGGGGTTACCTCCCAGCAACCCCCACACCATGTTGGGGGCACCTCTTTGCTCCCTTCGCTGCTGCAGGCTGCTCTGCTGACCCAGTGGGACACTGCCAAGCCTTGACATTGCAAAGACCAAGGTCTGCAGCTCTGCATGGAGCTGTAATAAAGTTTCCATTCCAGAACAAGTGTGTGAGCCAAGAAAGTGTCCGTGCAGATGACGCCAGCCCGCAGTCAGTCTTGCTTGCTGGCTGAGTGCTAGTGCTGTGCCCTGAGTGACCCTGACCATGCAGTCAGTCTTGCTTGCTGGCTGAGTGCTAGTGCTGTGCCCTGAGTGACCCTGACCATGCTCCTGATGGTAGCTGTCCCTTGAGATGGTGATTCAGCTGCAAACTCTGGTTCAGCAACAGATTGAAAGAGGACATCCCTGCTGTCAGGCTGACTCAGGACACTGTCCCACACTCCTTCCCTCCTTGGGGAGGTGGGAACCTTCCAGCTGTAGGAGCTGGCTGGCTGAGGGGGAGGTGGCAGGAAGACTTTTAACAAGTTAGGGCGCCCCTGCATGGTTCTTTCCCTCCAATGCAGCTGGGTCTCTCAACCTGGTCACAACATGAGTTCTCTTCAAAGTCTACTTCCTCCGGGAAGCATTCCTTGACTATCTCAATAATCATGCACTTGGGGCACAATTTATCCTGTGCTGCGTGTTCATCTTTATCTGCCTATATATGTTGTCACCCCAACTCCTAAAGGACAGAGATTATGTTTTTTGTAACACTCATAAAATTGATTCCATAAAAAACATTCAATTAAGTTAAATCTGTGTTCCCAGAGAGAGAGAGGGAGACAGCACATTTTCTAGTCTCTTCTCATAAGCACGGATCCTCTGAGATCAAGTCTCCATCCTTATGACCTCATGTAACCTGAAGAACTTCCTAGTGGTCCCACCTCCAAATATAGTCACACATAGGGGTTAGGGCTTCAGTGGGTGGACTTGGGGGCAGGGGTGACACAAACATTCAGTCTGTAACACATATAAAACCTCTAAGAAGGCACTTAAACTAAAATTAGGCTATTAGGGTGGATGCTAATCCAATTTGACTGGTGTCCTTATAAGAAAAGGTGATTAAGACACACAGAGAAAAAAAAAAAAAAAGACACACAGAGAGACACGAGGGGCGTGTATCCAGAGGGATGACCACCTGCAAGGCAAGCAGAGAGGCCTGGGAAGAAACCAACCCGCTGGCACCAAGACCTCAGACTTTCTGGCTCCCAGAACTGTATGAAAATAAATTTCTGATGTTTAAGTTTCCCAGTCTGTGGAATTTTGTTATGACAGCTTGAGCAAACTAATATGCCTATGAAGTGAGGTCCCAGGCTCGCTGGGTCCTAGATCTATTTGTTCTTCCCAATGCCTGCTCTGCATTTTCATCCTCTCATGTCTTTGCACCTGCTAGCTCCTCTTCCTGGAATGCCCCTTTTCTCATGCCCGAGGCGGTAAATCCACATTGCCAAAGAGCCTATGTGCTGTCTTAGTGAGAACCACTGGGCCATGAACACAAATGATGTGTGTGGCTTCCAAGCTGAAAGCACTGAAGGGCAGCTGCGAATTCTTTGCGTTTTTGTCCCTTCCCCTGCTTAGTGATAGTGAAAGCATGCAATGGAATGAGGGGCCACAGATGGTAGCAGCCTGGTTCTCTGAGTCATGACATTGAGGGAGTGCCCTGGACATTGCCAACTTGAATTAGCATTTGGGTGAGAAAGAAGTCTTTGTTGCATTAAACCTTGGGTACTACAGTATAACCCAGCCTGTCCTGACTCACACACTCTCATTTTCTGTCAGTTCAAATCTTCATCTTTTAAGTACCAGTTTAAATGCTACCTCTCTTTAAGAGCCTTCCAGAATCAACTTACCCCCACCCCCATCAGAATTCATCTCTTTCCCTTGTGCTTTCATAGCACATGTACCTTATGTCTATTGGGTGCTAAATGCTTAGTGTTATGGTTAGTTAAGTACGCATGGAGTTAGTGATGCAGAATGAGTAAGAGTATGGATTCTGGAACCAGACTAACTGGGTTCAAATCTCAGGCCTGCCATTTATCAACAGTGGGACCTTTGATGAGCTACTTAATCTTCTAGGACCTTGGTTCCTCTCTGTTTCTCTAGTGCCTGCCAGAGCTTTTGGTACAATAATTAATTGCTTAATTGTACCTGCTTGCCAGCCTCTTTCTGTTTGCCTCATAGATGGAAGCATCATGAAAAGACACATAGAACCAGAGATGGGGATCCATATGCAAAGCCAGGGGGTCCTGTTATCGGGGCCCTATGGCTCAGGCCAGGCCTGGAACACACTCTAGTTTTTTCCTACAAGTTAGTTCAAATTGGGGGGGACAGAATTTAGTGGGAGAAAGGAAAGATGAATTTGATGTTACTTCTCAAAGGTTCTTTCCCTGAGGTCATTATTTTTATGCATCTATCAAGATGGTTCATGATTCTCCTTTTTTTTCTGGTAATGACTTACCTTGATTGATTTTTAAGTATTGAGTCACCGTTGCATTTGTGGGATAAACCCGAACCCTAACCCTGGCTGGATGGCTCAGTTGGTTGGAGTGTCATCCTGTATACCAAAATGTGGGTTCAATTCCTGATCAGAGCACATACCTAAGTTGCAGGTTCAATCCCTTGTCAGGGTGCATATGGGAGGCAACCAGTTGATGTTTCTCACTTTCTTCCCACCCACTTTCTCTCTAAACATATTCTTGGATGAAAAATTTTAAGAAAGCTGTGGAGCATTTATACAATGGAATACTGCTTGGCCATAAAAAAGAATGAAAGCTTACCTTTTTGAGACAGCATGGATGGACCTGGAGACTATTATGCTAAGTGAAATGAGCCAGTCAGAGAAAGCCAAATACCATATGATCTCACTTATATGTGGAATCTAATGATAAAAAAACCCAAAAATCAAAATTAAAACTCATAGATATATAGAACAGACTGAGCGCTGTCAGAGGGGAGGAGAGTTGGGGAGCTGGGTGAAGAAGATGAAGGGACTGAGAAAAAAACTCATAGACACAGACAACAGTATGGTGCTCACCAGAGAGAAAGGGGGCCGGGGGTTGCAGAAAAGGGTAAAGGGGGTATAAATGGTGATGGAAAGAGACTTGACTTGGGATGGTGAACACACAAAACAATATACAGATGATATATTACAGAATTGTACACTTGAAACCTATATAATTTCATTAACCATCACTCCAATAAAGTCAATAACATTTAAAAAAATAAGTTAAAAACAAGATAAACAAATTAGCCTCATCCAGCACCCTGACTCACCTGCCTCATTCTCCCTTGTAAATCCAATCCCTTAATCATTAAGCCTTCGGGACAATGAGGCCCTAGTCGGCATTAAAGAATCTTGGGAACAAAACCTCTGGTCTGTTGACCACAGAGAGTTTCAATCAAACTAAAGATAGCATCTAGGCTGCAGTTGTGTTTCAGTTTCAGACCCAGAAAAGTGAACCAATTCCACTGACCACATCCTTGCGAAACCAGATGAAGTGACTCCATCGCTGACGTTAGGACCAGATGTACTGATCAGCTCCCCTTCCCATGGTACCAATCAATCGGTAGAGACCATGATCCCACCTGCCTCAGTCACCATGACAAAGGATTTTCCCTCTATATCACCCATTCCTGGAAGCCATCATGGAGCCAGGTCTTTGGGCATGGGCTTACCTGTGACTCGGGGCATGGTACCATTTCCTTAAAAATAAACCTTTACTTTCTTGGCTACAAATCCTGCCTGTGTTTGATTGGGCTCTGGGTGTGCGGGCAAACAAATCCCTTTTGTTTAGTAACACTGCCTACAATCTGGAGTGGACTGCCTTTCCCTTCAGTCTCTGCTTGCCTACCATGTACAGGGGTCATTTTAGGATTTCACCCAGGACGCTCCCAAGGTTTTGAACCAACAACGGGGCCACAGACACTTAAATTTTAGAAAGAGAACAAATATATAGAATGAAATCAGTCACCAACAGGAAGGACCCAAGAGACTGGTTATGAAGACCCCGAATCCAAACTTGGTGACTTAGGTGCAACTTCAGGGAAGCACAGCTGGATAGGGGCTGTAAACAGAAAAGCTTAAACCAAGCCAATTACATGTGCTCTAGCTCAACAAAGAATATGGGGAGGGCATCTCTGAAAGGTATGAACAGAGGCTTTTTGCCCATGAAAATAAATACCTAGCCAACCTGACAGGTCAATCTGTTCAGTGAAGACACCTGATGCCATTCAACTTGAATACCAGTCTCATTGCTTTGATTCTGCGCTGTGTCTCCATTATAATATGCTGTAGTATAAAGAATGTGGACTCCCAAGCAGATCCTCCTTCAAGAAGGAACACACTGTTGGCAGATAAAATTATCCAGCTGACAGGTAACCATGTTTTTCACTAGAAAGGAATCAACTTGCACTCTCACTTTGTACATCAGCCCCTTTTGAATTTGGTTTGCGTTAGTGTATCTTCTGAAGCCTGCTTACCTCTGTGAACTACTGAAGCTAGGTTTCTGGCCCTATGGATGGAGGACCAGGTGATGGAATAAGGACACTCAAACGTATTGTTACCTGTCATCCTTAGGCAGGTCTCACTTGAAATTGCACGTTTAGTAACATACTTGTAAGTCCCTTCAAAGTTCTCTTGGACTGACATTTGTGTCAAACATGTCACACTATCTCATTAAGAACTTCTATTGTTACTTCTGTAACTAAGCAATTTTATATGAAGTTCAGAATAATTTTTGTACTAAATTTTATTCTATATTAGGGCAAATTTACAGTGAATGGGATGTAATGCACACATACAACATATGTCAATGGTTTTCAATTACATTCTATTTACAGGAAGAAATGAATTTCCTAAGAAATTTGTTTATGAAACCCTCAATTGTAGAATTTCCACTTGGAACGATACTTATATTTTCCAAATACTTACTCCCACTGTTTTGTTAGTAATTATGTTGATAACATTCATCCAGTGACACTGAGATGCTATCTACTGTGCATGATGCATGTAGGACAGAGGGCAGGAAGGGTTCACTTCCTTTTCCAAATGTTATGGGGCTTGTAGTACTTCATTATGGGCCATTTTCTGCCACGTTTGTAAATTGGAAACTACCCTTGCTGAAATCCAGTCAGATGACTTTCAAAAAGTAGTTTTGAAATGTCTTTTGAGAAGTGAGAGTGTCTTTTGAGCAGATCTGAACCACCCCCAGGTAAGTGATTTCTTTGTGTCAGCATGTCCCAAAATAAGTTCTGGGGAAAATCACTTGGAGATACATTAATAGGGTGTTACTCAAATTTTTATAGACAAAATACTTGAGAAAACACCAGGCTAATCAAAGAAGAGTTCCGTTAAGGCAGGACTTCTCAGAACAAATATTCTATTATTAACTGTGCTCAGGTCCCGTCATTCAAATGCCAAACTCATTTGTCCATCTTTTCTTTTTCCCTCAGGAACACATTATGATAAAAGCTTCCTTATATGAGATATTCCCCAATACAATCTTTTTAAAAAATTTTATTTATTTATTTCTAGAGAGGAGGGAGGGAGGGAGGGAGGGAGGGAGGGAGAGAGGGAGGGAAAGAGAGAGAAACATCTATGGGTTGCATGCCTCCAACTGGGGACCCAACCTGCAACTCAGGCAGGTGCCCGGACTGGGAATCGAACCAGCAACCCAGCAACCTTTCTGTTTGCAGGCCGGCGTTCAATCCACTGAACCACACCAGCCTGGGCCCCCAGCACAATCTTTAAAATAGTGTCAGAGAAAGTAAATACATTTCACAAACGAACATACACCACTGCACAATCACACACACTAGGACGGGATGGCAGATACCCTCATTTCATTATTGAGAAAACTGCAGTTCAGAAAGTCTAGGCAGTTGGCACCTGTGGCAAGTGGCTGCCCTGAAAGAGCAATAACCCAGGCCGGCACTCTGCAAGTAATCTAAAATCAGGCGAGTCCCATTTCTCATGGATTCTGAGCCTCCACCCTCTCCCGCAGCGAGGCGTTCCGAGGCTCTGCCCCGCCCCGCACCTCCTTCCAAACTGCACTCTGCGCGTTCCCTTGCATGCGCTTCTTCTTACAGGGCCACAGTTCCCCATTCTTTAACCTAACCCCTCTCTCCCATATCTGGCCACAATTCAATACTAAGGTACATTTTTTTAGTTACCTGACTTTTTTCAGTGGGCAAGTTGGTCGTTCTCTCAGTTACACCAAAACAGACCCTAAAATCACTTATTTTTAAACTGGGGAATCACCATTATTTTCTACGAGCCAGTTGGCCTCGAGCAGTTATAAAAAGGAAACAAGTCCACGGCTCTGGGTACCCGAGGGGCCGATTCTGCGGCACCACTTTGAGGGAAAGGGGCCCTGGCCCCAAGGTTTCAAGGTGGTCTTTCCATGAATCCTACCCCCTGCCCCCCAAATCCGCGGCACGTTCGTACGTATAGGGGCTCCGCCCAAGACTCCAGGCCCGACTTCCGGGGTCCACGCCCCCGCCGCACGACCCCCAGGAGCCCGGAGCATGCGTGTGGAAAGAACCCGCCAAGCAGCCAACTCTTACCTGTAAAACTAACGACCGGGGGCGGGTGGGGCGGGGCCGGAAGTGGGCCACCGGCGGAAGTCGGCCCCCAGGGAGCCTGCATTTCCTCTCTAGGAGTTTGGAGGGATCTGCACCTCTATGTTCTAGACCTCTCCTGACCCCGTGGCGGGAGGAAAAGGTGGCTCCTGGCCCTGTAGGGTAGGGCGCGGGTTAATGTCCTCGGGACAGTTTCTTACTCTTTCATACCCGGGTGCACGAAGCAGCATTACTAACAGAGAGTCAGAAATTGACCTTTTCAAGATTCTAAAAAATGAAGATACAGGAACGCGATAGGGCGGCCCAAAACTCCTCAGCAGTTTTCTAGCAGTTTTTAATTCGTGAAGTGCACATGCATTTTTTAAATTGACATGAGGTCTAACTTGTATGTAATAACACTGCTCAAGTAGCTCAGTTTAAAAACAGGTTCAAATATAAATACATTTTAAGTATCTTTTGACTTGAACCCCAGGTTGGGGTTGGCCCTGCTGCTTTTGTGTCTTCACACCTAGTTCTACAATGATGAGTGGGCACACCTGTCCTCCCCCTCGCCTGCAGGGCCCCAAGTGGCTCATCTGTTTATTCAGAGGTTCAGGTTAATCAACTTTAATATACTCTCTTATTGTGATCTTCCACTCTAAAATGAAAAAGGAAATTATGCAAATATAAATACGGAATCTAATAAAATTAGCATTGTTTAGGTTTTAAAAATGTAACAGCATCCAACACAAATGAGGGTGTGGTAAAGTTAGTTCATTCTGGGCAGATGAATGTAAATACACAATGCTGTTGAAAAACTACTCGCCATTGTATATCAAAAACCACTGAATATGTTTAGGCTCTGACCTGTGAGAAAATTTACCCCAAGCAAATAAGTCCAAGGGAAAGGACAAACTGCATTTCTGAATGACAGTACAATGGATAACTCTTAAATTTGCTTATCCAACATTTAGTTTTCTTTTTCTTCTGATTTGTAACACTAAGGTTTTCCTGTAGGAGGCCAGCTAGCTCTCACATGACATGGCCTGGCCCATCAGAATATCCCAGCATAGTCGGGAGGTAAGGTATGAAGTCAGAGGCCACGCTGCCTGGTCCTAGTCCTGGCACTGCTGCTTCCTAAATGCATGAACTTCAGCTTGCTATTTATCCTTTCTAAGTCTCAATGTACTCATTTGTCGAATAGGTATATTAATAATAGACATCTACCTCATAGGGTTGTAGTGAGAACTACCGTAAGTGAATGGAACAGGAATATAAT